CATCGGAATTTTTGCCCAAATGATTGTGAGATAAAATGAGATGTAGTTTCTCGATGTGAAAAATACTGAGAAGTAAGATCAGAGAGGATTTGGGAAATTTGGGAATTTCCATCATGATACGATAAGGAAAACAAATCAATTGTCTAGTGGTTAGAGCTCATGTTCTGACTCGGTTGAAAAATAGTTCAATCGGAAAACACAGCACACCTCAACACCAAACTTGAAGACTTGTTCTGGAGACCATTCGAAACCACATAAACATGGCCTTCATGGGTCTCAAAACTTTAAGCCTCGGACTGAATCTTGGTTTTGGCTTATGGACTACAGAGACTCTGCCAAAGGTTCATAACTCTGAAAAAAAAACTGAAATATTAACTATAGTCAAGAAAAGAAGACATTTCATAGCGAGCCAGGAATACAGCTGGGATGGATGGTCATGGCTACTTAGCCAGTATATAATGCTATGTCAGCTTCTTCACTAGCCATTCTGTTCAGTTCATGTAGCTAGGCATTTTAGCCACATAAGCATTTTGTAAAAATTGGATTCTGTTGTATCTGTACAGCTCAGCATTTGAAAAGATGTTGCAACACATTCAGCATTTTTTCCTGGTTCTTTGATTGGATCTTGATTCCAACTCTTCTTGTCATCACGAGGACATGAAACTGCATAGACTTTCTTGTGTATATTGTGATATCAACAGGTCTGAATGTGAACAAGGTTCATGTAGTGATGAACGCAACAGGAAATCGATGACAGAAAGCAAATTCAACTTTGATCTGTTCCGTAAACAAAGCTATTGTATTGTATTGTTTGTTTTTTTTGTGCACTGTTTAGAGCTTGACAAATGAGTCATTCTTTTAATTATATGGAAAAGAGCAGCCCAGACATTCAAATTTCATGTTGCATGGAAAAAAAAATTTGCCGGCGACATGAGGATAGGTGATAAAATATGAACCTTTGGGAGGACTTTTCCTTTTGGCTGTGGTTTTCATGTGGGTGATGGGGTTAAATTCTTGGATGGTCCCAAAGCAGCAAAAAGGACAAATAAAAATACATAATCTCAGCCTGAGCCAAGGATAGGTCAGAGAACGTGTTTGCAGATGAAGTGTCTCAAATTGTGGTGTCTTCAGGGCTTATCCAACTCAAAGGCACCCAAGAAGAGACATTGTTTTGGCATAGAAAAATACAACATTACTCACAGTTGATTATCAGCTCCAAAGACCTTCAGGAGATATAAAAGCGTTTTTTGCCGGCGACATGAGGATAGGTGATAAAATATGAACCTTTGGGAGGACTTTTCCTTTTGGCTGTGGTTTTCATGTGGGTGATGGGGTTAAATTCTTGGATGGTCCCAAAGCAGCAAAAAGGCCACAAATAAAAATACATAATCTCAGCCTGAGCCAAGGATAGGTCAGAGAACGTGTTTGCAGATGAAGTGTCTCAAATTGTGGTGTCTTCAGGGCTTATCCAACTCAAAGGCACCCAAGAAGAGACATTGTTTTGGCATAGAAAAATACAACATTACTCACAGTTGATTATCAGCTCCAAAGACCTTCAGGAGATATAAAAGCGTTAGAGGATAGATGAAGTTTGACAGGTATCTTTAGCACTGGATAGTTCTTGAAGCAGACTGTATTATGGATGAGAATCATCCAACCTCAAAGCAGTGACAGCATACTTTGTCCCTTTCTGTCAAAGCTCTTGCTTACTCCGATGCACTTCATAAAACCGACGTTTATGATGCCTTCATTTCTGAATGATTGCATTTATGATACATAATGTCATAATTACCAGTGGGAAAGTCGTGATTTTCAGAGTTGAATCGAGTCATTTAAAGGGGTCATATGATGCTGCTAAAAAGAACATTATTTTGTGTATTTGGTGTAATGAAATGTTTATGTGGTTTGAAGTTCAAAAAACAAATTTTCCACATACTGTACATTATTGTACACATACTGTACATTATCTTTTTGAAATGCGTCGATTTCTGAAAAAGTGAGGTGTGCTGTGATTGGCCAGCTATCCAGTGCATTATGATTGGCCGAATACCTCAAGCGTGTGACGGAAATGTTACACCCCTACCATACTGTTGATGCCGTGTCCGGCCGGAGCGACGAGACAAAAACATTAAAACCCATTACAAACGAGGCATTTGTTGCATCCAGTGGGGACATAATTACTGATTATAATGACTTATACGGTCTTTTTACGCGTTCCATTGCATCGCGCCGCGTAAACATAAAAGTCTGTCTGCATTTGTGATCGGAAAAATGACAAACAACAAGTGCTACTCTACTGCCCAAAACTCACGTTTGAATCATCAGTGGCAACGAAAAACACAGCAGCCTAGCGTGAGGGGAAGCCCCGGCTTAGCGTGTGCTGAGGCCGGTATAGCGTGCGCTGAGGCGGGCTGGACTCCGCTTTGTCCACGGTGAAAGTTGATGCATCTCTTCAGCGACCAGCACAGATCAGCTCCAGGCATAACAAAGCGGATATCGTCCTATTTTGGAAGACCAAATAAAGTAGTTTTGCTTGTCTTCAGGACATGGCTGCAGCATCAACAATACTACAGCAAGAATAAAAGTTACGCCTTCTTTCCTTGCGTGAACATTTGGGCGGCGTTATGCAAATCTTCCCAGATCGTGACGTAGATATGTGGGGGAGTGTTAGAACGAGCCGTTTTAGGTAGGTGTGGCTGACTCTGAACTTCTATAAAGAATATCTCTTTGGTTTTGAGACTTTAGTGTTTGCAACTTTACAGATCTTCTTTATGCACCAAGAGCTTGTAACACTCCAAAGAGAAAGGAAAAATTGAAAATCGCATCATATGACCCCTTTAAAGAATCGTGATGCAAGGTAATGTGGTATCACAATTGAAGGGGTAATTCACTGCTAACAAGATAGACTTTTAATAAAACTTGGCTGTCAATGCGGTTGAAATGTGTAAAAAAAATAAATAAAAAAAAATAAAAAATTTAAATCAGTGCTATGGATGGACAAAACATGGAAGTTTGATATGTAGTTTTAACAAAAGCCATGGAGTTCATATGACAAAATTATGCATTTTCAGTCAGAAAATGGTGACAAATAAATGGTGATATCAGGATGCAGGTAAAAGAGAAAAAGAACACCTTCTTCATTTACATATGCTACTGTCATTGCAACAATACAAAGCTGGTTGAAAAAAAAAAAATCAGTGACCTAAAAGCATTGATTAGAGCAGGGGTGCCCAAACTCGATCCTGGAGGGCCGGTGTCCTGCAGAGTTTTGCTCCAACCCCAATTAAACACCCCTGAACCAGCTAATCAAGCTCTTACTAGACATACTAGAAACTTCGTGGCAGGTGTGTTGAGGCAAGCTGGATCTAAACTCTGCAGGACACCGGCCCTCCAGGACTGAGTTTGGGCACCCCTGGATTGGATTATAGAGAGAGAGAGAGCGCGAGAGCGAGAGCCTCTGCCCACCCCATCATTCCTCCCCCCCCCGTTACAACTAAGCTCGTAACAGGAAATTTAGCATAAAATATTGCCTAAAATAATTCAATGATTTTTT